TTCCATACCATGACAGTGGAACCAATGCATTCTGAGGTAGAGTAAAAAGACTTGGGAACTCGTGAGCCGGGCGAAGAGGTATCAAGGGATTCCTTTTCCTTTTTTTTCTCGCATGTCGTTTGTCTGCCTGCTACACACGCACACACACACACACACACACACACAGTCACTCACTCGGTCGCCCGCCCGACCACATTAATATTAATATTTTGAAGTTGCTGCTGACTGTTGTAGCTGGGGTTTAAACCCACGCACAGATTTGAGAAACCGAACTGCCTGATGAGATAATCGTTGAGGCAGATTGAGTCCGTGTGTGGATTTGGGGACCGTTTTTTTTTATAAYTATATCYCGTGTCAGGCAGCTGGCGCGTGAGGATGTGTTTGTGTRTCCAAACCCTAACCTTGCAAAGTGGAAAACCGGCCGAAWGGCAGAAATGGAAATGRAAAATGTGTCAAATYGCTGCCWTGATGCATTTCGCAGSCAAAATGATTTTTATKTTTTTTACTAAAAAKATCACAACAGAATCTATGGACTCTGAAATTTTTATATTTTTCTTATATTCTTTTGAGCTAAAAAAAACACGGAAGATGCAGGACTTTTCTGTTGGCTGGCACATGGCATAGCAACGATAATGAAAAAAGTGATGAAATCGCGTGGTGGTTATTTGATAGTGAAAATATTTTTTTAATTAAAAAAATATATTTTCTTAGAAAGATTACGACCTAATCTATAGGCCCTTCAATTTTCATGATTTGTAATGCATTCCTTTTACCGTGAAAAAGCACTGAAGTTAGGATACGTTTTTCGTTGGCCCACGCATCCAAGAGTGACAAAAATTGAAAATCCACTGAATTGTCGTGGCGACCATTTCAGCATCAAATCATTTTTTTTAATATCTAAGATATTTTTCGTAGGAAGATCAGGACATAATCTACGGGCCCTCCAATTTCAGGATTTTCAACGCATTCTTCTGAGCTGGAAAAATCACTGAACTTATGGTACGTTTTTCATTGTTGTCGAGCAGAGCTACGAACAGGCTAACAATCCAGAACTTAACTCAATCGGACTAGTAGGAGAGAAAACCCGTAGGGAAGAACACGACGACCATGTCCCGAACACGACTTTCTATTTTAACCTTAAGGGGTCTTAGTCGGTAACATGGACATGACGCCATAAGACTATATACTACTCAAGAATATGCTACCGAATCGATTCATCAAGACGCCACCACTATGCCAATTGTCAAAGCCGTGGTCAAAAAAGTACCGTACCGGAGCTTCTATAAAGTAATATCCCTTGGGGCCATTGCATTAGCACCTACACCTTTTAAGAGGCCAAGTTCAAACAATGCTCCTCAATCTATCCAGCAATTGTACCAAATTCACAGAGGGGTCYGGAAACTTCCTAAGATCGGTAGTACACCAGTCGTTACAAAACTGTGACAAAGACAAGTCAGACAGATAGGCCCACCAAAAAGCAGCCCCTAGTTCGAGACCGCCATCAAGACATGGCTCGGAACACTAGCTAAAAACACCGAACCAGGGTTCAAAACCACTACAGACTAACAAAAAACAAACGTCCGTCGTTCGAATCCCGCCCAAAGCGTACAACCTCGAAAAACTCAATTCAAGCCCCCTAACTCAATTCAAGTTCTGTCAACATCACTGCAGACCAAAAACAAAACCCATGCTCGAATCGAGCCCAGAACGTACCATCCCGAAAACTCAAATCAAACCCCTGCATCATACAAAATTGAATGGCTCCCTACAGCTGGGGAGAAAAAAAAACGAGGACCCCATAGTTCAACCCAAGAACCGATCCCACCTGGTCAGCGCCGGTATCCATTCTCTCCACAACCCCCCGTACATCCTAGAAAATGCACTAAGGTTTTATCAAATAAACTCATCTGGGTACCCCCTCTTTCACAACTCACACTTCAAAGAAAACAAAAAGGGAAAGGCCAAACCTTCATGCGACGAATACGATCTTGCCCGGTGTAGGAACGATCCAATAGCAGCGAATTTCTGTTGTCTACTAGAGAACGACGAAAAATCCTGTATGTTTTGAAAGGTCAACTTCCCATTTACGTCACAGTTCTGATTTTTAATCATAGGAAGACACACCACTCCTGCTTCACCGCAACTCACCTTAAGAATGCAACCAAGATATTACCATTTGTTGTTTTTACTTGGCTTCTCTAACACGAAGTTCTTGTCATAACATTGACTGAATGCTTCAATCATCAGTTTCGCCTTCTCCTTCGTCATTTATTGTCCTTTCTTAATAACGACGAAAACTAACACATCATCAATCAAGTAAAAACCTCGAAAGAATCTCTTATTCACACCTAGCCTGGAAAGAAAGGAGAACTCATTGAACGCACAAAGGAGGCAAGCTAACGTCGGGCTTGTTGATTTGCCCATTGGAATCCCCATAGTTTGGCGAAGCAGCCGCCCTGATGTCGAAATGAAGGTATGATCAAGTTCGAATTTAACAAATTCCCGAATCATTTTGAGAGAATTACCCGTTCATCCGGGTTCAACTCCCCCTTTCAATAGCTTCGCTCCTTTGCCCTGTCTTTTAATACCTACTTTCTGTATTCCTTTATAAGACCAAAAATCAACCACCCAAGTCAACGCGTCAATGATCGATGAGTGGGGCAAATTTGAAAACATTTCTTTGATATCAAAGGATGCACCGATCACACCATCTSCCAATTTCAAACCTTCATTCACCTTCCTCACTTCTTTGAGAAGATCATCGACACTYAGATTGAGATTTGAGTTATCAGGAAGATTCCAAAGTAGGCAGTTTACCGCCCTTCACACCAATCTCCCACCCGCCGCGGAACATTCAGAGTACAATGGGCAGAYGGGTCGCCAACGTGATATGTCCKTGTGCTTGGGTATACTATAAGCYCTCCCAATACTACCGTCATTCTTCCACTTGCATACCTGTTGCAATCCCAAGACAGTATACCATATAGCGCACTCCTGGAGAATATCAGTCTCYGCAACCAAGCACAAACTAAAGGCCGGATTCCCAAAAAACAGCCGCCACATCCCACTCTCATAAACCAATGGACAACAAACATACATATCCCCTRGGTTCTGATCAACAGGACARCACACAAGCCCTTTCAACATCGATCGAAAAGGAAACAAATCATTCTCATTGTTGGTATTTAGCAAGGAACAAGACTTAGAGAAACATCATCGAATCAACTTATTGGTCAACAAACCAGGATCAATCTCAGGAAGTGACRGATRAGACTTAAAGGAAGAGAGAATCTGAGAACGAAGGAAGAATAAGGATCGAGATCTAGATGGACGAAGCACATTCTTATAATTYCTCATTCATAGAGGAAAAAACTCACTATCGTTCAATTGAAAAGCCACGTGACCCWCAGATCTTGGGAAAGACAAATCACAACTTTCACATGTACAGACAGTATGAGAACACTTCGAGTATTCACGAAACTTATGAATTAAATCACCCACAGAACGATTACGGCACCAAACAACCCGCATGGGCCTCACCARCATTAACTCCCATCCTTCAGAAATGTCCAAAGAGGAGATGACCARARCACAAGTTTGGCGAATCTTAGCCTTAGAGATAGAATCATCATACACAATACGTATGACCAACCTTTTTCGAACATGTCACCCGAAATGTGCTAAAATTCCCCGAGACAGCAAACATCTCAATCTGRAACGAGTACGGTTATCGCTAAAGGTTCGTACCGCCGTATATGTYGCAATCAATCCTTCCAAATCCCGAATCTTCAAAAGTTGTCGACTAGAAGCGTCACTCAGGAAACCAGCAAGAGGTGCTTTCAAAGCCAAGGATTGACTCAAAAAAGGAATAATCGTAACAAACTCCAAGGTAACGCCTCCCTTCAGCCATCACCCTGCATGCCGCAATTCACAACTTCCATGGACACATGAGACTAGACCCCCTCTGTACAGTCTTTTCAACACCTTCCATCGGTCAATAATACGATTGCCTCCCACACACTTCACAACAACTTTATGAACCGAACTCACCCTGCAGAATTCCAAGATCCTAAGCAAAGTCCCAGAAACAATTCCAACACTCGAGTGAAAACAAACCATGGAGCCGAAAGAAATCTTCTTAGTCTGAAACAGACAACCCGCTGGATACTCTTTAATTTTCTTCCTCTTCCTGCTTCTTTCTCGCAAACCAGGTTGTTGTCTTCTTGACCTTCTTGTTTTGTCCTTGGTATTCAAAGCCGGCGAAAACAATCTAATAAAATATTTTTTCATTTCTTCCAAATTATCAGGAGTACATCTACACAACGGAATAATCGAATTAGAATGTGTACCACATCTGCGCATCCACTTATATAATTTCTTATATCTACAACCATCGTTAAGCGTTGACTAACAGGAACGATAAACATGCTTCCTCCATCGTGTATGCAAGTCTCTTCCCGTGCTACCGATGTACAGATGCCTAGACCAAGGTGAAATCAAACAATAGACGACATGTCCCTTCCATTCATCCTCATCATGTCTTCTTCGAGAAAAGGCATCCAAGARAAACTGACTTAACTTACTTCCCCATAATATTTCTCCGGCAAGAATCAACCCACAAATCGAGAGACTGAGAAGAACATTAAGAGCCGTATTCTTTAGGRATTCAACAGAAAAAGACYGAATCCTACTACAAAGTCGAAYCGACTTCCRAAGGAAAACCGTGTCAGGGCAAGATCCTAAGAAACAGCGGAGTCTTGCCCGTCATCTTCATCCGATGACCCATCCCCATCACCCGACACTTCAATCATAGCAATGTTCTTACCCTTGTCTTTCTTACCATCCTCATCCTCGAAAGCCCTAGCAACTCTCTCTTGCACAATCGCCTCTTTGGTCGGTTCCAAAGTAGTATAGGTTATGCCTTCTTTCTCACAAATACAAATGACCTCTTCCTTCTTCTTCCCTCGAAGTTGCCTTCGATTCTCTCGAACAAAGGCATCTCTATCGATTGATCGCGCCGCCGGACTCGGTGCAGTCTTGGTCTTGTGTCARCGATTGGAAGGGCCAGCTTCATCTTCARCCACACCTTGCTCTTTCCTGACAGCAACTTCATCCAATCTTGATTTCAAGTTAGTTCCACGTGTGCCYGTTCTCTTCTCCATTGCCAGCTTGGCGATCTCGTCTCTAAGCCTTGCCACCTCATCCTCAGAATCCTTACGCGCCTTCATCTCCTTGATCTGCAAATCGTGCAGAGCTTTCACCTCCATTTGATGCCGCTCAACGATACCTTTCAGGTCAGCCTCCATTTGCCTYTTGGGAGTCTCAACCGGTGTAGTCCGCGGACGAAATCGCACTTGAGTTGTCGTTGTGGGTCCAACCGCAAGGCTTCCCCGTTTATTATCGGGTCGAAGCGCTTCGTTTTTCCAGGCTTCAGCATTAGCTTCCGCCTCCTCACATTGCCTTTGTAGGACCAAYACAACATCCTCCAGTGTCGACAGTCTTTTATCCGACGYCGTCTTCATCGCAGCTTGTTCTAGCCGCAATCGTACCAAATCCTCTGTCTCCGAAACAGGTTTGGAAGCCTCCGTCGATGTGCTTGCACCGTTCATCCTTCGTTGCAAATCATTAATAGTGGCTTTTAGCTTCGCCACCTCCTCGCTGTCACCATTCTTCTTACCGTCGATAGTTTTATACACCTTGTCTAGATTCTCCGTGAGCTTCTGCTTCATCTGCGACTGGAAATCTTCTCGATCTTTCTTTTCACGTTGCCTCCTTTCTTCTTCTTCTCACTCCCACTTCTTACGTTCTTCTTCCTCACGAGCTGCTTTCTCCTTCGCTTCATCCGCCTCATGCTTCTCACTGATCCTAGCTACCTTGTCTTCTAACGTGCTCACGCGCTTGCCAAGCCAACCACTACCCCCCGAGTACCCAGAGAAGGAGGGGACTGTGGTTCCTACATTGGAGTTGTTACTAGGAGGTAAGGTGAGAAGAGGGGTATGCGCAGGGACAATAGCCATACTGTTAGAGGGTTGACCATTAAGCCTACGATCAGAGTAAGGACAAAACCGAGAGATGTGACTACATTGGTTACAATTGTAACATGTCATCGTGTCTCCATTCTGATTGTTGGAAGCCATGGTACTTGCGAAGTCACTCAACTGTAGTACAACTCCTACGTCGGTTCCTTCGTGCGTGAAAGTTGTCAAGCAGAACCATGAACAGGTTAACAATCCAGAACTTGACTCACTCGGACTAGTAGGAGAGAAAACCCGTAGGGAAGAACACAACGACCATGTCCCGAACACGACTTTGTATTTTGACACTAAGGGGTCTTAGTCGGTAACATGAACATGACGTCGTAAGACTATATACTACTCAAGAATATGCTACCGAGTCGATTCATCAAGATGCCACCACTATGCGAATTGTCAAAGCCATAGTAAAAAAAGTACCGTACCGGAGCTTCTAGAAAGTTATATCCCTTGGGGCCATTGCATTAGCACCTACACCTTCTAAGAGGCCAAGTTCAAACAGTGCTCCTCAATTTATCCAACAATTGTACCAAATTCACAGAGGGGTCCGGAAACTTCCTAAGATCGGTAGTACACTAGTCGTTACAAAACTGTGACAAAGATAAGCCAGACAGATAGGCCCACCAAAAAGCAGCCCTTGGTTCGAGACCGTCATCAAGACATGGCTCGGAACACTAGCTAAAAACACCGAACCAGGGTTCAAAACCACTACAGACTAACAAAAAACAAACGTTCGTTGTTCGAATCCCGCCCAAAGCGTACAATCGCAAAAAACTCAATTCAAGCCCCCTAACTCAATTCAAGCTCCGTCAACATCACTGCAGACCAAAAACAAAACCCATGCTCGAATTCAGCCCAAACGCCGCGGAGTGGCAAAAATGACCCACACGCCGCGGAGTGGCAAAAATGGAAAATGAACCAAATCGGCGCAACAACTATTTCATGGTTGAAAATATATATATATATATATATTTTAATTTATATTTTTCCTAGAAAGACCACGACCAAATCTACGGGTTCGCAAAATTTGAGATTTTTTGGGTTATTAGATAAATTGCGAAAAATCCCCAAAGTTAGGGTACTTTGTAGCTGCAGGACTGGACCCGCCGGTAATTAGCGGTCGCCGCTCTTCCGAAAAACCTCGCCCTAACTCACCGGACGCAAGTTTTTGGGTGGCGGGTGACAGGTGGTTTAATGAGTAGGGGAGCAAGACCCACGGTCTCCATGGGAGCTGAAGCTAGCTAAGGGCTCCCCGAGAGCTGAAGCTGGTTAAGGGCATGACCACGCCGTTCGTTGTTGTTTTTCTTAACAAAATGCTCCAATCTATTCGTGAGGAGCCGCACGTGCTGTCAACCGGTACATTTGCATCGCTACACCACTCTCCAAATGTGAAAAAGACAAAAGTGTGGTCGGTGCATCTGACCATGTTCTAGCTGGAAGTTCATTGTACATTTTGCACATTTCTCAAGTGGTGTGGCTACGGCCAAATGACCCCGCGAAGCCCTCCCC